AAAGAATCATCAAAATCGCTTCAAATCCACAAGTTCACAGAATTATCGCGTAACATAGGTACATACAAAAAAAAGTTTTTGAAATCGGTTAAAAAAGAGGTTTCATGCAAAAAGAAAAACGGTTTTTTTAAAGTATTAAAGAGGCATGTAAATCAAACAGTTCTAAATCTAAGAGTTTAAGTTTATTTAAAAAAATATAGCGTTGTATAGTTTTAGATGTTTAGGAGATTATCAAAAATCTCTGTTCAAGTAATTTTAATTTATTGATATTACTGTGTAATAGTAAAAAATTGTTTTCCTGGCAAATTTTACACCATAATTATGACAGTCAAGACAATCCCGGGTAATATTCTACTTTTTAAGCAAGGCTCTTAAACTCATGATTATGTGGTGGAACGCTTTAGTGTAAGTATTTCTACTATTCAGAGGATCTAGTCACGATTTCAAGAGATTAGCTCATTCAAAAGGAGACCAGGATCGGGAATAAATCGGTGTACTGAGTGTAGAGAAGACCGACTTAAGAACCAAGTTTTATGAAATCAAGAATTTAACACGGGCTGGCGAGTCTAAATTAGGCCGTGAACACCGTATAGCATGTTTGAGGTTTCATATTTATGCGACATAGGGTCCATGTCGCATAACGTGGAGTAGAGTTTTATTTTCTGATGAAACCAGAATCTCTTTGTTTGATGAGAACCGACGTTACAGAGTTGTGAGGAGACCTAGATAGCGCTGTGCAGTTGTATTTTCCATTTTAGTTGTCCAGTTGTGCATTTCGTTCCACTAGATTACGTACGTAAGTGAATTATTAATGGTCATTGCCATACTTTATTTATTTTTACATACACAAGCTAGCAACAACCATTACAGGACTAACCTAATACAGTAGTGTAGCCAAAACTATCAGTTGTCCAACGTGAACTTAGGAAGGTGTTCACATTACAGAAAAAAATAATATACTATGTTTTGTAATTTTTGTTTATCGCCTGCACTCCTCATGAAATCCAAGTCATATTTTGTTATTTGTTTAAATCGGTGTCAACTTCGTGTTGGGTGACAAATGGTTACTGTCCGTTATCCTTAGGAGATAGACAAATGCTTTCATAGAATTTTTTTTAAGACCTACAATTTTGTGATACATTAATTTGATTTATCTCTTTTGGTTTTGCCAGTGTAATATAATGTTATATAAAAAAAACCATCCCCTCACTATTTTGATTAACTTTTTATAGCGTATGATACTCCCACAATCAAGGTGAATCTAACGACACCTCATTATGTTAAAATCCATCAAGGGGTTTAGGCTGTACAGCGTGACATAGTAATGGATGGACGTACATACGTACATACACTCGAAAAACCGGAACTTCTGACGCAGTCGGGTAAAAAATAAATTAACAAAATGGTAGTAAAACATCACAATAGTCAATAAAATAAATATTTACAAAATATGACGATTATTATAATCATTATGTGTACATTTTTCTGTGTGAAGTGTTTATTTTGATATTTTAAATTTAAGTTATCTTTTGTTGATCCTTGGTCGGTGGCTTCCAGTCCGTTCCTTGGCCACCATAGAATATCAGCGTTGTGTTGTTTTGCATGCAGAACTCAATCGATCTCAATGTTTAATATTAGGGGTTAAAGTATGAAATTGCCGTTTTATTGCAATAGGTTCTTTGAATTTTCATAGAATCTTCATGGTTTGAGGTTTTCGAATGAAACTTTTTTTAAATGGTTTCTGTGATTTTTTTTTTAAATTTGAAACATTTGAATATCGACTTTCAATTGTTTTTGTTATTCAATTTAGACAAGAAAGATGGATACTGCGAAAATTCGAGTGATTTTTGAATGCGAGTTCCGACGCGGAACTAACGCGGCAGAAACAGCCCGCAATATCAATGCTGCGTTTGGAGAGGGGTCTACTAATGAACGCACCGTGCGATTTTGGTTTAAACGCTTTCGTGATGGAAATTTCGACTTAAAGAACGAGCCACGAGGAAGACCGCCCACACAGGTGAATAACGATGAATTAAGAGAGATAGTGGAAGCCGATCCTAGTCAATCTACCCAGGAATTAGCGGCATGGTTTAACGTTACCTTACCCACAATATTGACTCACTTGCGTCAAATCAATAAAATAAAAAATACGAAAAATAGGTGCCTCATGATTTGACTGATCTGCAGAAAGAAACGCGTGTTGAAACTTGTGTTGCCTTGTTGAACCGGTACAGAAATGAAGGAATATTGGATCGAATTGTAACATGTGATGAAAAGTGGATTCTTTATGATAACCGGAAAAGAAAAAATGCAATGGCTGACCCCAGGTCAAATGCCACAACAGTGTCCTAAAGCAAAACTTACCAATAAAAAGGTAATGGTAACTGTTTGGTGGTCTCAGCATGGTGTTATTCACTATAGTTTTCTCCGATCTGGTCAAGCAATAACGGCAGATGTCTATTGTGCCGAATTCCGAACCATGTTGACAAAACTAGCAGTAAAACAGCCCCGACTCACGAATCGATCTTCACCATTATTGCTCAACGACAACGCGAGACCTCACACAGCACGAGAAACCATTTTGACCCTTCAGGAACTGCAGTTAGAAACCATTCGTCATCCTCCGTATTCACCAGACCTTGCTCCAATGGACTACCATTTTTTTCGTGATTTGGACAATTATCTACGTGACAAGAAGTTTTCTTCCCAGGAGGCAGTACAAAATGCTTTCACACAGTTTGTGCAGTCTAGATAGTCGGAGTTCTATCGCAAAGGCATTAATAACCTTCCCATTAGATGGCAGCAATGTATAGATAATAATGGCAACTATTTTGATTAAATAAATTTGTTAAAAATTTAAAAAATAAACAATTTCGATTTTCAGTACAAATCGGCAATTTCATACTTTAACCCCTATTATTAAGATACTTTATATTACTAGTAGAGACCAAATAATTATTATTTTCTTTCTTTCTATCTTAAAATTGTGAAAATATATCAAAATAAGAATACATATTAACTGAAATAGCGGCACATCCTATGTTATGGATTATAAGGCTAACTACTCGACGGCGGCGCATGCAATGAGAGCTATCTTAAGTTTTATACGATCTGTTATAAGTTTATTAACAAAATTACTTGCTACATTTAACACTCAGTGTAATAAGCAACTAAGGGAAAAGATGCTGGAAGTACAAGAAGTATCTCGAGATTGGAGTGTGAATTATATTTATAAAATTTTTTTGGACGTTGACGTTCGTCCATTTCTGTTTTCAAAATAACTAAGTACATAAACGAAGGAGCAATATTTGTAATTTTTATGACAAAAAAAACCGACCTCAAAGCTTCGTGGAATTACATCTACGTATTTGGCAAGTTTTATTGACATCACTCCCCTAGTTTGCCACCTTTAAAGGTGGAATATTTTCTGCAAATTTGAATGGTACCAATACTCTTTCCAACAATCATCATTAAAATCGATTCACAAATGCCGAGTTATCGCGTAACATACGTACAAAAAAAACATACAGACGAATTGAGAACCTCCTTCTTTTTTTTGGAAGTCTGAAAAAAAGTGTGGTAACTAACTACAGGATATACAAATATACTAAATAACAATAGGTGGTCTTCAGTCACGAAAGTTTCAAGATGTCATGTTGAAACAGTATTTAACATAAAAAAATCAAATAAATTTTTATATGAATCGTATTTACTAGAAGGTAAATATAAAATATATTACTGACTATTGTAGAATATTACTTAACGGATGCCGCGAATCGCGACGACGAAGCGTAAACAATAACATGCGACAATAGCCAACGATTCGAAGCTAGAGGAAAGCAAACAACCGATTGTCAAACGAACTTGGTTGTAAACAAACTACGTCACAGACTATCTAATAGTACGTAAACAGAAGACTTGCTGTCTTTGAGCGTTGGAAAGTGCCTACACAAATGTACCTACAAAATAAATTAAGTTCAATGCAAAGCCCGCTAACTTACAAAACGAGACGTAGTGAGTATGTAGAGTTCGTTATACGCTTTTGGTATTACTGTAGAAGGCGTTGCGACCATATAGATCTAGCAGTAAATATTTAGTTTTGTTTAGGTATTTATGCTTAAGTAGGAACCACAATTTCGTGCTTTTTTTAAATTTTGAAAGAATTACAGGTATTGCGGATTTCACGCATAATTTCATCAAACGCGTTTAAGCATTTCAAAGCCTTTGTTCTTCATAATAATTAATAACATATTACCGAATAATCCATAAAACGTAGTAATCGGTGTATTTTATTTCTTAAAGTATTTCCCAGTTTAGAATCGAGAAATGAATTTCAATTGCGTTAATAAGCATTTATTACAATTATAAGCGGTGAGCGCGTTACTTGCCGTTGTTTCAGTGAGAAAGTCCCCGAATAATGGCGCGCCGCTGCCTGTAGGCATGTTGTCATAGCAAATGAGCAAAGTACGGCAATCTTGACAATGCTTGAAATAATAATAAACTAGAGGTTCAATATAAGGGTAATTTTTCAAGAAAATTGTCATTTGAGTTCTAGTCGTATTCAGATGTATATCTCGTGTTATAATTGAAAATTTTGCGTTTAGTCTCATTATTTCCTGGTAAGTGTTTCACACCACGTGCCATTAATAACGTAAACTCTGCTTAGCTTAGTAAATTCAGCCAAGAACAAGTAAGTTTCGGTTCGTGGCTGTTTGTTTACTCCTCGCAAATTGTTTGATTCATGTTCTCATGGCGCTACGAATTATTTTGGCTAGAAAAGTGTATTTAAAAGCAACCTTCTAATATTCTTATCATATTACCAGGAAAAGATCGTTTAGTACCATGCGGCTATCCATTTCATTATTTCAAAAACAATCTCGAAACTATGCAATATTTGCTGAATCACAAATTGTTTCGCTTGTGCCGATTTAATTGTTTACATAGAGATTGTTCCTCAAAGCGTTAATTAGAGTGAAGGAATACTTGAAAATGTTTAATAGGAGGCGAGGCGGCGAGCTGCGCTGAGTCGGGGAGCAACATAGTGCGCGTTTTATAAAACCCTGCCATAACGAAGCTTGTTAGTGTGCTTTTGTGAGGAGATTGCACTGAAGACACCTTCAGAGCGCCGGGTGGGCAAATAGAAGTAATGAGTTCCTTGTTGTTATGTGTCCTCTTGGCATTATTGCCGCAAGCGTTTGGTGAGTTCTTTTATAATGTTCGGACTTGCTTAGGGACATTATTGTATTGTTTCTTATTTGTAACTTTGAATTATTTTCGGTTATAAAGATTTAAAATAGTAATATATTTTACTGTTGTTGTGGCAAAATTATTATTATATATGTGATGTATTAAAAAAATTATTTCACACACGTACATATTTTAAACGTTTGTTTAAACAGGACGGGCATCAAACACGAACATCAAATTTAACAACTCCTTGGTAATCGGACAGAAACCAAATCACAAATTATTATTGAATTTAAACGCACCGCCTCTAGTAACGAAAACGAACGAGTTACAAATAGTATTCACCGACCCGAAATGTGCACTTTGCTTTAATTGTATGGAACGAGCTTTAAAAGCGCACAAATATAACAAATACCGGCCTGATTCAGAAGAACTTTCTGATCTGCTTACAAATACTGTAACGGTACAGAGAAAGAAGAGATATGTGACTTCAACACCGTCAACAGATGGAAAAAAAGATAAAAAGGGGAAGAAGAAAAGCAAAGCGCACAAAACAATTATAGTTACACAATATAATATGGAAGGAGAAGTATATGCTCTGAAAGTGAAAGAATCTTTACCAGGTTCGGATCACACTGAGAACGAGTCCGGTGCATGCCATGTGTACAGTGTCAACAAAGTAATGCGGTGTAATACTCCGGAAGGAGATGCGTTCATTGCCAATGTTAAGAGAAATGCCAATAGGAAGGATAAGAGACGTAAGGAGGATGGAGAAGATGTAACTAGAAAAAACCCAACAACAACTCGAGTGTTGTCGAAATCTGTATTTAGAAAACGACAAACTGATGATGCCAGAAGTCAAATGCCCGAAAATGTAATGTCGTCCGTAGAAGAATTTTATTAAACAAATTTGTGGGTACATTCTTTGTGGGATTTCGAGCATTCTAATATCACATATTTTTGGATTTTATTAATTAATTGGGGGTTCCAATAAATTGTTTAATGCTAGGTTTTGTTTAATTTTTTATAAGCAGTTTCTGGAGAGTCTTGCCTTGAGCGGGATACGTGTTTAGAGGTAAGAGAAGGATTTAGTTTATAATACACCATACGGATTGTGCACTTCACATAATTGTCTTCGAAGAGTCTTTTTTTTTCAAAGTGGAAGTGTCCTCACGAAACGCTTTCATTCATCAGGTAAAAGAAATAAGTTTTCTGCAATGCAGATAATGAGAACATAGTCAATCAATTATGTCATTTCTAGAACTATAGCTATCGGAGAATAGTATGCATTGAAATTGAAGTATTATCTTCGTTAGGCCATCATAATTATGTGCGGTGATATAGTCCGCCAAACATAGACAAGGTACAACCCCCTGCGATAGACGTTCTCACCTCAACTTTGCGGTTCCATTAATTATTACTACTATGGCGGGCGTGACCGCTGATCCTAATATACCACCTGTGACATTTACGTGCTGCGGACATACTTACGGTATTTGAATAGTGAAATTACTAGTCATACATACACCTGACATCCAGCAAGGAGGGCATGTATTACGGATTTCTACAAGCTGGTTTCACTTCCTTTTCTTCCTGAATGACTGTCAATTGATTCTGCTTCGTTCTTTCAATATTTAAAAATATTTATTTCATAGGCAAATAAATTACACTTGACATTGTCAAATTTATCACACATTACCACTTGCTCATAAGGTATATTCCCGAAGAATGAGTAAGAAACTATAGGACATGCTTTCTGTAAATAGATATTTGTTCACATTTATTGTTCTCCTACTATGGGGAATTATCAATTTCCTTCAATTACGTGATTTATCTGGCACCTTTATGTAATTAAAATAGAATTCACTACAAAGCTCACTAATAATTTAATTACATATAAGTCATTCATTATAAATAAAGTCACTCGAAATAGTATCTAACGGATCACGTAGCGACTTTACCCTTATCAGCCGTTTTGGTTGCTCTCACTACTCATTACGGTCTAATCCAATATAACGTCTAATAGCTGAGAGAAAATATTTTTAGTGTCCATTGCTGCTTTATCAATTAGCTAAATTTCAGTACATACAAGAAATATGGCAATGTATGTTAAGTTGTTAGGAAACGTCGTTTATAATCGTCGTACTCCCAATACAGGATGAGCCTTTAGTTCTTTTTCCAGAAAAACTTTGTTCTCGATAAAGACTTGGTAACGAGTTCGGTCAAACATGTTAGCGCCGAGGCTCTATTTGGGCCGGATTAGCGTTTGTGGCTTGTTGTGGTTTAAAATCCGATTGTCGCCCTTTTAGCCGCAGGAGATTTGCTCCAACATTTTAGTGGATTTAGTTTCGAGTGTTTTTAGGTTTATTATTCCGCTTAAAGATTATGTTATAGAGAGTAATCAATCACTTATGAAAATTACATTATCGGCACCACCTCCGTAGGCAAGACCTGTATACCACCTGAAAGTCCTCCACTTGCAGCTTCCCGATTCCCTCACAATCTTCATTGTGAATTAATTGTTTTTATATCAAGTGACGGGACGGACAAGTCGTGCGCCTGATGGTAAGCTACGTGCCTGTCCATAACAGTTACAGTGACACTCAGAGCTTTAAATCACTGCTTAATTATATATATACACAGTATTTTTTTATAATAGCATTTTCATACAAAATGAATAAAATTGACCATTTTTCAGTTTCTTATAAGGATGATTTTATTGTATGGGACGAAAAAATCGGGACAGCAGAAGTTGGTCAAATTTAATAAAATGTTTATTCATTTTGTATGAAAGGTTTTTTAATTAAATTTGTAACTAATATAATAATAATAAATCTTTATTTTCTCTCACAAAATTTTAGGATATATTACAGTAGTAAACTCATCTAAATATTATTAAATTATTAAGGGTCGTATTCCAGAACTCTACTCAATGCTCAAGTCAGGATTTGAGCAGACATGAGTATGATTTCAAGCACTGGAAATACGACGCTATAATGGCAAGGACTTGAGTATGATTTCTAGTGCTTTGAACCATACTCAAGTCCTGACTTGAGCATTGAGTAGAGTTCTAGAATACGACCCTAAGTCTGTGTGAGAGATTGGCGTCCGTACTAGGAGACCTGTATTACAAATCACCAAACCCTACACTCCGGACCAAAGGTAAGTATAGACTTGGACTTGGATAAGAGAATAGAACTAGACTTAAGCGTGAGGCGAATGTGAGTATATGGGTATGTGGGTGTTGTGTGTGTGTGTGTGTGTGTTTGAGTGTGTAAGTTTGTGTGCAAAACCCGATTAGCCATCAAAAGGGAATAAACTATGTTAATTTGGTACTGATAACATTAAGTTGGAACTATTAAGAGGTTTTCAGCTTCGTCGTAGTTTAGATTTTTAAGCCAATTGGTCATAGTCACTTTACAGTTCAATTTTGTGAGTGGAATAAATTCCAATTGGCTTATTTATGTTATTACACTTGTACCCACCGAAAATCGAAAAATCTATGAGAGAAAGCTGTGCTCCGCCGAGTAGAAGAATAACAGACGTGGTCTTAAATTATATACACCAAGGGTGTGATGGAGGTATGTAATGCATAAATGTGCATTATACCTATTTATGGCATTAAATCATAAAACAATACGGCGAATAATGATGTTATAAGGAAAATCATTACCCTACATTATTTGAAAAAAACATTCACACTTAAGGCGAGTCACCGCAGGAGAAGCGAGAAAAACTGTTTTGTTATTCACTATTAAATAACGGTGTTATAAAAAGTATGTACAATACACCTAAGACTGTGCTAATGTGTTACACAAGAGGATGTACTTAGTCCGATAACATAAAATTCTGAAATTAGGCTAAAATAATAGTCTAAAACGAATTAATTAGGAATAAAACATCTAACTTTGTACATAATTTTCATATGGAGATACTTATTTTTTTTAAATAGGTACTACAAGAATCTGCCAAATTTTGATTTTCAATTGAAGCCCTATTAGTTATTAAAGTCACATTTATGTCAAATTTTGCTAGTGGCCCAGCGGTTTAACGGTCAGTTGCCATCGGGCACTTGTTGACGTCGGATCTGCATCAATTTTTTTTCGCCTGCTCTTATTTTATTCTGTGTGTGGGGGGTCACCGCGGAGTGCGGTACGCGAGAAGTGACCCCCCAAAACACACACACATCGCACCTCCTAAAATCAGGGCTGGCGTTGAAATACTTCGCCTTAAGACAGAAATAAATAATTACGAAACAAAATCATAAGCAAAACGAAAACTGAATTAAACCTCAGATTCTTTAAATAAACAAAGACTCCAAATATAAAGATACGTTGTGTTTTGCCAGCCGCGGCAACAAAAGTAACTTACTTGTTATTTGCTGGAAATAATAACAAATAGACATAACAAAAACAAGAAATGCTTAGTGTATATTTACACTAAATAACGAAGAATATATTAGTTACTATTACAAAGTTTATGATAATATCCCGAGTTCTTAGGTTTTCGCGATTGTTAGACGTAGGAAATGAAACTGTTTTTCCGGATTTAAATCGCGTATATTTGTTTTACCGATCCCATGGTTTCGGTTGACTGGAGTGGTAAAGCCATCAACCAGTTATGTCTAATGCAAACCACCTTTTGATTTTTTACTATAGTTACAAAAGTTATGAATTAAATACCTTATTTTTAATTTTACAAAGAACATTCCAATTTACACTACAACTGTTTCACAAATTATTTTATTTTCACAATATGAATTTTTATTAAATTAAATTTATAATAATTGTGGAAATTTATGAAAATTTATTCATTTATGGAAATTAGAACATATTGGTTTAAGACATTTATTCTCACTAAGAATTAAACAATTCACTTACATGAGAACACAAAGAAACTTAATATAAATATTTTTAGAAAACGTACTTAGGGACGGTAGTCAGCTAAAAAATTATAAAATTTTACCATCGTACAATTTTACTGACAGACAACACATTCTCAGGTGCAAATGGCTAGCACCACCACAGATGTACTTCCAAATCACGCCCGCAAGCTATACTATTATAACATATTAAAACATATTAATCAGTATTGCAGTCTTATGTCTATTTGGGATTTTTCATCAGAGGAAATACTGCATCCCAAACTGGTGGTACGAAGAAACCATCTTCCCTGTTGAAATTAGGATGTTTTTTAATTTCAATAGCCTCTCGCAGATGTAAGTGAATTTGTACCCTGCTGCGTAAAGCCTTCAAAACTGTATAGGTTACCAAAAATACATAAAGCTGACACCCCACTCCGTCCCATAGTTAGCCAGATTGACTCACTAACCTACAAACTGGCTCAACACACAAAGGTACTGTTACTATTGAGAGGGAATACTTCTACACATGTGAAGGATTCATACCATTTCATCAGTGGAATCAAAGATCTACTGTTAACCGATGATGATACCATGGTCAGTTTTGATGTTCAATCACTGTTCACCAATCTACCAGTAAAAGACTGCATTGAAATTGTACGTAGAAAGCTAAGGGAACATAATATGTCCATTGAATATGCTGAATTATTTAGAACACTGCCTAACATCAGGCTATCTGTTCTACATACAAATCGATGCGACGGTATAGCGATGGGCTCTCCGGTATCTCCCGTTGTTGCCGATATTTTCATGGAAGACTTCGAGGAGTGAGTTTTACCCAAAGCCCCGGCTAGGCCAAAGATTTTCGAAAGGTAGGTTGATGATACTTTCACAATATTACTAAAAGATAGTATACCTTCTTTCTTGGACCATTTTAATTGTTTTAGTGATAAGATCCAATTTACTATGAAACAAAAGAATTAAATGAAAAGAAATTCTAATAACACCTTAGGCCATACTGTATTTCGAAAGAAAACCCATACCGATAGGTACCTCAATGGTAATTCCCATCACCATCCTTGCCAGTTAGC